TCCTCCCCCGCCCCGCCCCGCCCCGTGCGTAGGGGCGTGGGCAGAGCTGTCCCCGCAAAACCCACTGGAGGGAATGCCAGTGGGAAGCACGGCGACCAGACACGCGGAGTTCAGTAATTCATTGTTTATTTTTTCAGTTTTCCACCCTCACCCTAAAGTCAGTGTGCCTGACCCTTTTTGGAACCCAGGAGGAAACAGACCAAAAATAAAGGGCATCCATCACACATCACATGACAGCAGTGTATGTCTACACAGCACACAGTTCTGGGAAGTGCCGCGGTCATCCCATTCAAGGCGATTACTCGAGTGGAAACACATCCAACACCAGTAGACTCATGACAAATGGAGCTTTTCCTTTATTTGTTTTCCCCAGTCAGAAACATGGAAAGAGGGAGTCAGAGGGGAGGCTAAGCTTTGAAGATCCACTTCACAAATTATCAATAAACATTTGAAAAGGTGCTCAACTCAAGAAAAGAAAAACGAAAAGTACACAACAAACAGAAGTTATCCTTCACCCATCAAATTGGCTAAAATTACAAAGATTGATGATATTCCCATATTGGCAACCAAGACTCTTTCCTACACACTTGAAGGCAGGCATATACTTCAATAGGCTTTCTGGAGAGAAATATTACAGTATATTGTTGGAAGAGCTGTCACCATGAGGCCTGAGCATCCCTGCACGTTCCTGCTGAGTGTCAGATGCCAAGATTTATCCATCTACTGATACTGGGCAGTTTCTGTAGCTATTCACACAGGCAGCTAAAGGGGTCAAGGCACCCGCAGGATGATTATGACTACTCTTGGGGTAGAAAGAGACTGGCTTTTTTGCTGCTCACTACAGTGATGGCTCTTTAATTTTTTTATGAGAGATTATCAGTGATAATCTCTTTTGTTGTTGTTGTTTTATTTTGTAATATATTTGTTGTAATATATTTTTATTGATTTCAGAGCGGAAGGGGGGAGGAGAGATAGAAACATCAATGATAAGAGAGACTCATTGATAAGCTGCCTCCTGCACACCCCACACTGGGGATTGAGCCCACAACCAGGGCATGTGCCCTGACCAAATCGAACCGTGACCTCCTGGTTCATAGGTTGATGTTCAACTGAGCCATTCTGGCCCAGTGGCTCTTTGCTTTAAAACGTGCTGGTCCTTGGCCCATTGCAAATGGCCCTCTATGTAACCCTGTGGGAACTGGAGGCTCCAAAACCAAATGTATATACATATGCAGACATCCTGGCTATTACTGTTGCGGTGAGTACTAGTAATAAAGTTGTTTACCTCTAACCCATGAGTCTCATGTCTTCTGTCAACTTCCACAAAACTATGACCCATTATCTTGTTTGTCTGCAATAAGGTGACCCCCTACTATCCTCCCCTTCCCACAGTGCTTGAAACATCAAATTTTTAAATGTATGTACCCTTTGGCTTTCTGATTCCAGTCCTACAGAAATACTCACAAGTAGACACCAAGATAGGCTAAGCTGTTCGTTTCAGCATAGTTTTTAATAGAAAAATATTGAAAACATGATGAATATCTATCAATAAGAAACAGTTTTGAGGATTATAGTACAGAGGATTTCTACATGTGCCCAAGATGCTCTTCAAAAGACACTGTTAAGAAAAATAAAAATACCAACCACACACTGGGAGAAAATATTGGCAAAACACATATGTAGTTAAAAGCTTGTGTTCAGGACATACAGAGAAGTCTTGTTACTCAAAAAAGGGAGAAACAACCAATTAAAAAGTGGGCAAAAGATTTGAAGAGACAGTTCACCAAAGAAGATATATTAATCGTCAGTAAGCAATGAAAAGATGGTAAACATAACTACTAATCAGAAAATGTGAATTAAAATCACAATGAGATACCACTACACACCAGGTAGGATTAATATTAAAATCACCTTGTGTTGGTAAGGATGTGGAACAATTGAATTCTCATATTATTTCTGGTAAGAATGCAAAAGGAAGAGTCACTTGGGAAAAGAATTTGGCAGTTTCTTCTGAAGTGAAACATATACTTAACATATGACTCAGCAACTCCACTCCTAGGTATTACACGAGGGAAATTAAAACAAGTGTCCACACAAAGATGTGTACATGAAGATTCTTGGTAAGGATGTGGAACAATTGAATTCTCATATTATTTCTGGTAAGAATGCAAAAGGAAGAGTCACTTGGGAAAAGAATTTGGCAGTTTCTTCTGAAGTGAAACATATACTTAACATATGACTCAGCAACTCCACTCCTAGGTATTACACGAGGGAAATTAAAACAAGTGTCCACACAAAGATGTGTACATGAAGATTCTTAGCAGCTTTATTCATAACTAGAGGCCTGGTGCACAAAAATTTGTGCACTGGAGGGGGAGTCCCTCAGCCCAGCTTGCCCCCTATCACATACTGGGAGCCCTCAGGGGATGTCCTACTCCCTGCTCCCCTTGGGGAGCGGGCCTAAGCCACAGTCTGGCCTCCCTTTGTGGGAGGCGACCGGGCTGATCAGGGGAAGGCACCAGTTCCCATCACCCCGCTGTTGCAGCCACTGCCAGTCACCGCAGCCACCAAGGTGTTTTCATCAACACGGACTCCAGTCCCTTCACCATGAAAAAATGACAACTTTCTTTAGGCATTTTCAAGATGTGTCT